TACCAGGAGAAATGCTAAAGATCCTCTATGACGTTTTATCGAATAATTGAGGGCTGTGTCCCAAATATGGTGCACTTCCTTTGACCAAAGCCCTATGGGCCTGGTCAAAAGTAGTGCATTATATAGGAAATAGGGTGCTATTTGGGACACATACAGACGTACAGTAGGATCTTAATTTGAACCAGTTTGCTAAAGCAGGAAACTAATCATGCAGCAACAGGAAATGTGAATTAATATATGGATTATAATTCATGGACATCTTTGTTGATACATTTTTCCTAAGGGAAAATCAAGTAAATTTCAAAGTGGAAATTACAAACTTCAGAAGCCTTTGTAAACCTTAAATACAAGACACGTTTTAAATGTCCTGCATTCCAGGAAAGTTATCCTGCAACAGTGTCATCAAATGAAGATCCCACATCTGTAGCATGTCTAGTCATAGACTGTAACATTACAGTAATGCTCCTTCATGACGTCTTTACATATTCAGGATCTTAATTTGACCTGTATTGGCGCAGAAACATTATCCTTCAGCAACAGAATTTGAACGTTTAGTCCTTTCACACTTTTCTGCCGATGTAATTTTGCTAGCTGTTAATATAACAGTATGTTATTGAAGGTTTTCAGTAAATGTAGGTAAATCACTCATCTAATCTGCATTTCCTGCGGCACAAGGACAATTCACAGTGACAACACAGTGATCAAATGAAGATCCTACATCTGTAATAGAGGTACAGCGAACTGGAATATGACGTGTTAATCTATTGGATTTGAAATACACAGTATTATGCACATAAGGATGTAGCGTGGGCACATTCTCTGGAAGCCATATGTAATGCTACAGCAACCTCCGCTCATAGACAAGGACACAGAGGGAGTCCCAAATGGCTCCCTTTACCTTTAGCCCTGGTTTCTTGTCAAAAGTAGTGCAGTAGTTAGGGAATAGGATGCCATTTGTGACTGCAGACAGAGCTTCTCTACCCCGCACAGTGTGCACGTTCCTTGTCCTTTCAGTGTGCCAAAACGAAATGAAGGATATGCAATTCCTTCTAATATCACTGTTGCGTTTGCAAAAGGTTGAAGCTAAACTCATTTGGTGCGAGCGAAATTCCCCACAGTGCACTAAGGATCAAGGAAAATACCTGGTTTAGTAGGACGTCAGCTCTGCTCTGAAGGGAGGGGAGCGCGAGGAGGGGGGTAGGGGGATTATTGCATATGATATATGGATAGTTCTATCTGTAATGATATGCCAGTGAATAAATGGTCTCAAGGATAATCAGCTTCTGTCAATATAATCTCCCAGTGAAGGTGTTCATTAATCTTACCAAGCTATGGCTAATCATGTCCATCTACTTGAGCCCCCGTGAATGTCTCACCTGCTTAAGTCATGCTAATTAATGTTTCACACTGAAGCCCACAGCCTGCAGTCAGGCAGGCAGGTAGTCAGGCAGGCAGGTAGTCAGACAGGCAGGTAGTCAGGCAGGCAGGTAGTCAGGCAGGCAGGTAGTCAGGCAGGCAGGTAGTCAGGCAGGCAGGTAGGCAGGCAGGCAGGTAGTCAGGCAGGCAGGCAGGTAGTCAGGCAGGCAGGTAGTCAGGCAGGCAGGCAGGTAGTCAAGCAGGCATGTAGTCAAGCAGGCAGGCAGGTAGTCAGGCAGGCAGGTAGTCAGGCAGGCAGGTAGTCAGGCAGGTAGTCAGGCAGGCAGGTAGTCAGGCAGGCAGGCAGGTAGTCAGGCAGGCATGTAGTCAAGCAGGCAGGCAGGTAGTCAGGCAGGCAGGTAGTCAGGCAGGCAGGTAGTCAGGCAGGCAGGTAGTCAGGCAGGCAGGCATGTAGTCAGGCAGGCATGTAGTCAGGCAGGCAGGTAGTCAGGCAGGCAGGTAGTCAGGCAGGCAGGTAGTCAGGCAGGCAGGTAGTCAGGCAGGCAGGCATGTAGTCAGGCAGGCAGGTAGTCAGGCAGGCAGGTAGTCAGGCAGTCGAGCCAAGGTTCATTCATTGTCTCTGTGTCTCCGATCCGATCCACCAAACATTTACACTAGAGGCTATTTCAGTCTAATATTTCTAGTCTAATATTCCTACATATCACATGAGCATACAGGAACTACAGAGAGTCCTCATCCATTACAGAAACTACAGAGTCCTCATCCATTACAGAAACTACAGAGAGTCCTCATCCATTACAGAAAGAGCATAGAGAGTCCTCATCCATTACATGAACTGCAGAGAGTCCTCATCAATTACATAAACTACAGAGTCCTCATCCATTACATAAACTACAGAGTCCTCATCCATTACAGAAAGAGCATAGAGAGTCCTCATCCATTACATGAACTGCAGAGAGTCCTCATCAATTACATAAACTACAGAGTCCTCATTCATTATAGAAACTACAGAGAGTCCTCATCCATTATAGAAACTACAGAGTCCTCATCCATTACAGAAAGAGCATAGAGAGTCCTCATCAATTACATAAACTACAGAGTCCTCATTCATTATAGAAACTACAGAGAGTCCTCATCCATTATAGAAACTACAGAGTCCTCATCCATTACATAAACTACAGAGTCCTCATTCATTATAGAAACTACAGAGAGTCCTCATCCATTATAGAAACTACAGAGTCCTCATCCATTATAGAAACTACAGAGTCCTCATCCATTACAGAATCTACAGAGAGTCCTCATCCATTACAGAATCTACAGAGTCTCAGTCCATCAGGAAACTACAGAGAGTACTCATCCACAACAGAAACTACAGAGTCGGCATTCCAGACAGAATCTACAGTATGTCATCATCCATTACAGAATCTAAGAGTCCTCATCCAGTACAGAATTCTACAGAGTACTCATCCCAGTACAGAAACTACAGAGAGCCCTCATTCATTATAGAACACAGAGGTCCTCATCCATTATAGAGAACTACAAGCGTCCTCATCCATACAGAAAAAACTACAGAGAGGTCCTCATCATACAGAATTAACAGAGTCCTCATCCATTACAGAATCTACAGAGAGTCCTCATCCATTACAGAATCGACAGAGGTCCTCATTCATTCATAGAAACTACAGAGAGTCATCATCCATTATAGAAACTACGAGTCCCATCCATTACATAATATAGAAACTACAGAGTCCTCATCCATTATAGAAACTACAGAGTCCTCATCCATTACATAATCTACAGAGAGTCCTCATCCATTACAGAAACTACAGAGAGTACTCATCCACTACAGAAATTACAGAGTCCTCATCCATTACAGAAACTACAGAGTCCTCATCCATTACAGAATCTCCAGAGAGTCCTCATCCATTACAGAAACTACAGAGTCCTCATCCATTACAGAAACTACAGAGTCCTCATCCATTACAGAATCTACAGAGTCCTCATCCATTACAGAAACAGCATAGAGTCCTCATCCATTACAGAAACTACATTACAGGTCCTCATCCATTACAGAATCTACAGAGTCCTCATCCATTACAGAAACAGCATAGAGTCCTCATCCATTACAGAAATTACAGAGTCCTCATCCATTACATAAACTACAGAGTCCTCATCCATTATAGAAACACAGAGTCCTCATCCATTACAGAATCTACAGAGTCCTCATCCATTACAGAAACTACAGAGTCCTCATCCATTACAGAAACTACAGAGTCCTCATCCATTACAGAATCTACAGAGTCCTCATCCATTACAGAAACTACAGAGAGTTCTCATCCACAACAGAAATTACAGAGTCCTCATCCATTATAGAAACTACAGAGTCCTCATCCATTACAGAATCTACAGAGAGTCCTCATCCATTACAGAAACTACAGAGTCCTCATCCATTACAGAACTACAGAGTCCTCATCCATTACAGAATCTACAGAGTCCTCATCCATTACAGAAACTACAAGAGTCCTCATCCATTACATGAAACTACACAGAGCCTCATCCATTACAGAAATACAGAGTCCTCATCCATTACAGAATCTACAGAGTCTCATCCATTACAGAAACGCACAGAGTCCTCATCCATTACAGAATTACAGAGTCCTCATCCATTACAGAACTCAGGAGTCCTCATCATTACAGAAAACTACAGAGTCCTCATCCATTACAGAAACTACAGAGTCCTCATCCATTACAGAAACTACAGAGTCCTCATCCATTACTTAAACTACAGAGAGCCCTCATTCATTATAGAAACTACAGAGAGTACTCATCCACAACAGAAACTACAGAGTCGTCATCCATCACAGAATCTACAGAGTCCTCATCCATTACAGAAACTACAGAGTCCTCATCCATTACAGAAATTACAGAGTCCTCATCCATTACATAATCTACAGAGTCATCATCCATTACAGAAACAGCATAGAGTCCTCATCCATTACAGAAATTACAGCGTCCTCATCCATTACAGAAACTACAGAGTCCTCATCCATTACAGAAACAGCATAGAGTCCTCATCCATTACAGAAATTACAGAGTCCTCATCCATTACAGAAACTACAGAGAGCCCTCATCCATTACAGAAACTACAGAGAGTCCCAATCCATCACAGAAACTACCACTACCCAGACCAAACTACCACTTGAAGTAATGCATTTGACATGATAGGATCATTTGCTCCAAAGAACCAAAGACAGTTATTGTGGTACGGTCATATCCTGGGCACAATGGCATAGTGTAATGTGGCCTGTAGTAACTACTGATGTTTTCATAGAGGTGGTGTGGCCTGTTATCATATAGGTAATCTGGTCTGTACTGACATTATCATAGAGGTGATGTGGTTTGATGTTATCATCGAGGTGATGTGGTCTGATATCATAGAGGTGATGTGGTATTATGATATTTTAGAGGTGATGTGGTCTGATGTTATCATTCAGGTGATGTGATTTAATATCATAGAGGTGACATGTTATCATAGAGGTAATGTGGTCTGATGCTATCATCAAGGTGATGTGGTCTAATATCTTAGAGGTGATGTGTTGTGATATCATAGATGTCTGATGTTATCATATAGGTGATGTGGTCTGTACTAATGTTATCATAGAGGTGATGTGGTCTGATGTTATCAATGAGGTGATGTGGTCTGATGTTATCATGGAAGTGATGTGGTCAGATGTTATCATCAAGTTTATGTGTTCTGATGTTATCATAGATGTGATGTGGTCTGATGTTATCAATGAGGTGATGTGGTCTGATGTTATCATCGAGGTGGTGTGGTCTGATGTTATTATAGAGGTGATGTGGTCTGATGTTATCAAAGAGGTGATGTGGTCTGATGTTATCATCGAGGTGGTGTGGTCTGATGTTATTATAGAGGTGATGTGGTCTGATGTTATCAATGAGGTGATGTGGTCTGATGTTATCATTGAGTTTATATGTTCTGATGTTATCATAGAGGTGATGTGGTCTGATGTTATCATCGAGGTGATGTGGTCTGATGTTATCATATAGGTGATGTGGTCTGATATCATAGAGGTGATGTGGTCTGACATCATAGAGTTGATGTGGTCTGATGTTATAATAGAGTTGATGTGGTCTGATGTTATCATCGAGGTGATGTGGTCTGATGTTATCATATAGGTGATGTGGTCTGATGTTATCATAGAGGTGATGTGGTCTGACATCATAGAGTTGATGTGGTCTGATGTTATCATAGAGTTGATGTAGTCTGATGTTATCATAGAGGTGATGTGGTCTGATGTTATCATAGAGTTGATGTGGTCTGATGTTATCATAGAGGTGATGTGGTCTGATGTTATCATAGAGGTGATGTGGTCTGATGTCATCATAGAGGTGATGTGGTCTGATGTTATCATAGAGGTGATGTGGTCTGATGTTATCATAGAGTTGATGTGGTCTGATTTTATCATAGAGGTGATGTGGTCTGATGTTATCATAGAGGTGATGTGGTCTGATGTTATCATAGAGGTGATGTGGTCTGATGTTATCATAGAGGTGATGTGGTCTGATGTTATCATAGAGGTGATGTGGTCTGATGTCATCATATAGGTGATGTGGTCTGATATCATAGAGGTGATGTGGTCTGACATCATAGAGTTGATGTGGTCTGATGTTATAATAGAGTTGATGTGGTCTGATGTTATCATCGAGGTGATGTGGTCTGATGTTATCATATAGGTGATGTGGTCTAATTTTATCATAGAGGTGATGTGGTCTGACATCATAGAGTTGATGTGGTCTGATGTTATCATAGAGTTGATGTGGTCTGATGTTATCATAGAGGTGATGTGGTCTGATGTTATCATAGAGTTGATGTGGTCTGATGTTATCATATAGGTGATGTGATCTGATGTTATCATAGAGGTGATGTGGTCTGATGTTATCATAGAGGTGATGTGGTCTGATGTTATCATAGAGGTGATGTGGTCTGATGTTATCATCGAGGTGATGTGGTCTGATGTTATCATATAGGTGATGTTGTCTGATATCATAGAGGTGATGTGGTCTGACATCATAGAGTTGATGTGGTCTGATGTTATCATAGTGTTGATGTGGTCTGATGTTATCATAGAGGTGATGTGGTCTGATGTTATCATAGAGTTGATGTGGTCTGATGTTATCATATATGTGATGTGATCTGATGTTATCATAGAGGTGATGTGGTCTGATGTTATCATAGAGGTGATGTGGTCTGATGATATCATCGAGGTGATGTGGTCTGATGTTATCATATAGGTGATGTGGTCTGATATCATAGAGGTGATGTGGTCTGACATCCTAGAGTTGATGTGGTCTGATGTTATAATAGAGTTGATGTGGTCTGATGTTATCATCGAGGTGATGTGGTCTGATGTTTTCATATAGGTGATGTGGTCTGATGTTATCATAGAGGTGATGTGGTCTGACATCATAGAGTTGATGTGGTCTGATGTTATCATAGTGTTGATGTGGTCTGATGTTATCATAGAGGTGATGTGGTCTGATGTTATCATAGAGTTGATGTGGTCTGATGTTATCATATAGGTGATGTGATCTGATGTTATCATAGAGGTGATGTGGTCTGATATCATAGAGGTGATGTGGTCTGATGTTATCATAGAGGTGATGTGGTCTGATGTTATCATAGAGGTGATGTGGTCTGATGTCATCATAGAGGTGATGTGGTCTGATGTTATCATAGAGGTGATGTGGTCTGATGTTATCATAGAGTTGATGTGGTCTGATTTTATCATAGAGGTGATGTGGTCTGATGTTATCATAGAGGTGATGTGGTCTGATGTTATCATAGAGGTGATGTGGTCTGATGTTATCATAGAGGTGATGTGGTCTGATGTTATCATAGAGGTGATGTGGTCTGATGTCATCATAGAGGTGATGTAGTCTGATGTCATCATAGAGGTGATGTGGTATGATGTTATCATAGAGTTGATGTGGTCTGATGTTATCATAGAGGTGATGTGGTCTGATGTTATCATAGAGGTGATGTGGTCTGATGTTATCATAGAGGTGATGTGGTCTGATGTTATCATAGAGGTGATGTGGTCTGATGTTATCATAGAGTTGATGTGGTCTGATGTTATCATAGAGTTGATGTGGTCTGATGGTATCATAGAGTTGATGTGGTCTGATGTTATCATAGAGTTGATGTGGTCTGATGTTATCATAGAGGTGATGTGGTCTGATGTTATCATAGAGGTGATTTGGTCTGATGTTATCATAGAGGTGATGTGGTCTGATGTTATCATAGAGGTGATGTGGTCTGATGATATCATAGAGGTGATGTGGTCTGATGTTATCATAGAGGTGATGTGGTCTGATGTTATCAAAGAGGTGATGTGGTCTGATGTTATCATAGAGGTGATGTGGTATGATGTTATCATAGAGGTGATGTTGTCTGATTTTATCATATAGGTGATGTGGTCTGATGTTATCTTAGAGGTGATGTGGTCTGATGTTATCATAGAGGTGATGTGGTCTGATGTTATCATAGAGTTGATGTGGTCTGATGTTATCATAGAGGTGATGTGGTCTGATGTTATCATAGAGGTGATGTGAAGGCTTGAAATGATCCCTTCTGTCCTCACTTTACTAGCTTCTGTATTACAGCTCTATTAGGGACACTGAGGTAGCATCCCAAATGGCACCCTGTTCCCAAGTGCATAGGGCTCCGGGCTAAAGTAGTGCGCTAAATAGGAATAGGGTGCCATTCTCTGGTCTAAAGTAGTGCACTAAATAGGGAATAGGGTGCCATTCTCTGGTCTAAAGTATTGCACTAAATAGGGAATAGGGTGCCATTCTCTGGTCTAAAGTAGTGCACTAAATAGGGAATAGGGTGCCATTCTCTGGTCTAAAGTAGTGCACTAAATAGGGAATTAGGTGCCATTCTCTGGTCTAAAGTAGTGCACTAAATAGGGAATAGGGTGCCATTCTCTGGTCTAAAGTAGTGCACTAAATAGGGAATAGGGTGCCATTCTCTGGTCTAAAGTAGTGCACTAAATAGGGAATTAGGTGCCATTCTCTGGTCTAAAGTAGTGCACTAAATAGGGAATAGGGTGCCATTTGGAGCATGTCCTGAGTGTTTTTCTGTTGTCTACCTTGTGAAGAGATAGAGATCAGAGGGATGTGAGGGTCAGTGCCTTTATCAGAAGTGACAGTAGACGAGAGCTTGCAGCCTATCAACTCAACCAGTCACACTGACAAGAGACTTCTCCTCATAATAGTCTGTATTTGTCAGGACCTATCCCCACTGTGAACTCTCATGTGACTGTCAGGACCTATCCCCACTGTGAACTCTCATGTGACTGTCAGGACCTATCCCCACTGTGAACTCTCATGTGACTGTCAGGACCTATCCCCACTGTGAACTCTCATGTGACTGTCAGGACCTATCCCCACTGTGAACTCTCATGTGACTGTCAGGACCTATCCCCACTGTGAACTCTCATGTGACTGTCAGGACCTATCCCCACTGTGAACTCTCATGTGACTGTCAGGACCTATCCCCACTGTGAACTCTCATGTGACTGTCAGGACCTATCCCCACTGTGAACTCTCATGTGACTGTCAGGACCTATCCCCACTGTGAACTCTCATGTGACTGTCAGGACCTATCCCCACTGTGAACTCTCAATGTGATTTTCCTCAAAGAGACACACGCATTTATATTCTAGGTGGGGAAACACACGGTACAATGTTAGGCCTGTATTTCAATGTTACAATGGTAGGCCTGTATTTCAATGGTACAATGGTACACCTGTATTTCAATGGTACAAAGGTAGGCCTTTATTTCAATGGTACAATGGTAGGCCTGTATTTCAATGGTACAATGGTAGGCCTGTATTTCAATGGTACAATGGTAGGCCTGTATTTCAATGGTACAATGGTAGGCCTGTATTTCAATGGTACAATGGTGCACCTATATTTCAATGGTACAAAGGTTGGCCTGTATTTCAATGGTACAATGGTAGGCCTGTATTTTAAAGGTACAATGGTAGGCCTGTATTTCAATGGTACAATGGTAGGCCTGTATTTAAATGGTGTAATGGTAGGCCTGTATTTTAATGGTACAATGCTAGGCCTGTATTTCAAGGGTACAATCGTAGGCCTGTATTTCAATGGTACAATGGTAGGCCTGTATTTCAATGGTACAATGGTAGGCCTGTATTTCAAGGGTACAATGGTAGGACTGTATTTCAATGGTACAATGGTAGGCCTGTATTTCAATGGTACAATGGTAGGCCTGTATTTCAATGGTACAATGGTAGGCCTGTATTTCAATGGTACAACAGTAGGCCTGTATTTCAAAGGTACAATGTTAGGCCTGTATTTAAATGGTGTAATGGTAGGCCTGTATTTTAATGGTACAATGGTAGGCCTGTTTTCCAATGGTACAATGGTAGACCTGTATTTAAATGGTACAATGGTTGGCCTGTATTTAAATGGTACAATGGTAGGCCTGTATTTCAATGGTACAAAGGTAGGCCTGTATTTCAATGGTACAATGGTAGGCCTGTATTTCAATGGTACAATGGTAGGCCTGTATTTCAATAGTACAATGGTAGGCCTGTATTTCAATGGTACAATGGTAGGCCTGTTTTTCAATGGTACAATGGTGCACCTGTATTTCAATGGTACAAAGGTTGGCCTGTATTTCAATGGTACAATGGTAGGCCTGTATTTCAATGGTACAATGGTAGGCCTGTATTTTAAAGGTACAATGGTAGGCCTGTATTTCAATGGTACAATGGTAGGCCTGTATTTCAATGGTACAATGGTAGGCCTTTATTTCAATGGTACAATGGTAGGCCTGTATTTTAATGGTACAATGGTAGGCCTGTATTTCAATGATACAATGGTTGGCCTGTATTTCAATGGTACAATGGTAGGCCTGTATTTTAATGGTACAATGGTAGGCCTGTATTTCAATGGTACAATGGTAGGCCTGTATTTCAATGGTACAATGGTAGGCCTGTATTTCAAGGGTACAATCATAGGCCTGTATTTCAATGGTACAATGGTAGGCCTGTATTTCAATGGTACAATGGTAGGCCTGTATTTCAATGGTACAATGGTAGGCCTGTATTTAAATGGTACAATGGTAGGCATGTATTTCAATGGTACAATGGTGCACCTGTATTTCAATCGTACAAAGGTTGGCCTGTATTTCAATGGTACAATGGTAGGCCTGTATTTTAATGGTACAATAGTAGGCCTGTATTTCAATGGTACAATGGTAGGCCTGTATTTTAATGGTACAAAGGTAGACCTGTATTTCAATGGTACAAAGGTTGGCCTGTATTTCAATGGTACAATTGGTATGCCTGTATTTCAATGGTACAATGGTAGGCCTGTATTTTAATGGTACAATGGTAGGCCTGTATTTCAATGGTACAATGGTAGGTCTGTATTTCAATGGTACAGTGGTAGGCCTGTATTTCAATGGTACAATGGTAGGCCTGTATTTCAAGGGTACAATCATAGGCCTGTATTTCAATGGTACAATGGTAGGCCTGTATTTTAATGGTATAATGGTAGGCCTGTATTTCAAGGGTACAATGGTAGGCCTGTATTTCAATGGTACAATGGTAGGCCTGTATTTCAATGGTACAATGATAGGCCTGTATTTCAATGGTACAATGGTAGGCCTTTATTTCAATGGTACAACGGTAGGCCTGTATTTAAATGGTACAATGGTAGGCCTGTATTTAAATTGTACAATGGTAGGCCTGTTTTCTGCTCTTTTTTCTAATTATTCTCTTCAGTGAACGACTGTGTGATTCTCATAGATATGGAAATTGCTCTCACACACATGGAGGGCAAGGAGGATTTAATATACAAACACATACTCTACACAGTTACTATCCATTATCTCTATACACAGTTACTATCCATTATCTCTATACACAGTTAATATCCATTATCTCTATACACAGTTACTATCCATTATCTCTATACACAGTTAATATCCATTATCTCTATACACAGTTACTATCCATTATCTCTATACACATTTACTATCCATTATCTCTATACACAGTTGCTAACCATTATCTCTATACACAGTTGCTAGCCATTATCTCTATACACAGTTGCTAGCCATTATCTCTATACACAGTTACTATCCATTATCTCTATACACAGTTACTATCCATTATCTCTATACACAGTTACTATCCATTATCTCTATACACAGTTGCTAACCATTATCTCTATACACAGTTGCTAGCCATTATCTCTATACACAGTTACTATCCATTATCTCTATACACAGTTACTATCCATTATCTCTATACACAGTTGCTAACCATTATCTCTATACACAGTTGCTAACCATTATCTCTATACACAGTTGCTAACCATTATCTCTATACACAGTTGCTAGCCATTATCTCTGCACACAGTTGCTAGCCATTATCTCTATACACAGTTAATATCCATTGTCTGTATACACAGTTAATATCCATTATCTATATACACAGTTAATATCCATTATCATATCAGTTCTCACTGTACTCAGCTCTGTGTGTAGCAGGTAACTAATTGGCTCCTTTCCAAATTCCAAACTCACTGCTTATTAACTGTCAAAGTCCTGTTTAATATTTCATAGATTTTCCTGTCTTCAGTATGGTTTCCTGGTGTATGAAATGCCCACTGCACATTGATTAAGCCTTAATGCAATTATGAAGAAGTAGAGTAATAGCCTACTTTACATTTTCAGATATCGTCTTGTTTTCTCTCCAGAGCCGACAGCTCCCCAAAGGCCTGGGATTATTTTCAGTTTTGTTCTGGTCTTTTAACGTACTTTATCACACAGAGAGAAGTAAACACCCAGAAGCCCATGGGCTTTGATTAGACAATCTTATCATCCTTCATTGTCTTCTCTCAGAATCAATCATTCTTTACAGCATACAGTATTCTTTGCCCCTGCATGCAATACTTTCTTCTTTTTATTATAATTTACTGTCATTTTCTTTCATTTCCAGCTATACAAACATCATAAATGTGTCAGGACTGATGTTTTCAAACGGACTTGAATTTAAACATAATCACGGTTAATTAATTAAATTATCAAAAAATCCTTGACTAAATTAGCGAAAAAGGTATCCTTTCCCCAAGGTTTTTTTGTTGTTGTAAATCTCTTCTAGTGAGCCTTGATTTGTTGTCATTGTGTTGTTCATGTGGAGTGTGTTTGGGCTGAAGAGGTTTCCTGAAAATGATATGCTATGACAGCTCAGTCCAGGCAGGAGCTTCACACCTCATAGAATGAATCATTCTGAACTCTTGGACTGTTTCACGTTAAAGAAAGTTGTTCTTGTTTTGTTATTCTACTCAATTTGGGCCTTTTTATATTGCAAATGACATTGATGTATGTGCAGTGAATCTGAAGGGGAATGGGAGAAGGAAAAATGAGACTCTGGCGTAGCGAGGAGGGGAATGTATGTGCCAAGAAATCATTTTAGAATGTCTCTTCTTGAAACCGTACCATTTTATTATGTTTAGCTACCTGTCCCCATCTGTCTGGGAAAGAAGTACTGCAATTATTTTATGAAAGTTGTCAATCTCTGGTCTTTGTCCATTGTCAAGCCTTCCCCCAGACTTTACAGTGCGGCAGACAGCAAGACATTTTATAAATAGTTATACTTGTTTAATGAGGCTGTGATTAATATCAGTCCTGAGACTATGGCAGCGTCCCAAATGGGCCCAGTCTAAAGTAGTGCACTAAATACGGGATGGGGTGCCATCACTAAATACGGGATGGGGTGCCATCACTAAATACGGGATGGGGTGCCATCACTAAATACGGGATGGGGTGCCATCACTAAATACGGGATGGGGTGCCATCACTAAATACGGGATGGGGAGCCATTTGAGATGCGGCCTATAAAAGCAAATCCGCCTGACCCACTACACCAGTAGTTTGCCCTCTTGTCATCTCAAGAAGCTTAAGTATAACGATCTTGTGTTACATAACTGTGTCTCTGTTGTCGAATGCTCATTACAAAGTAACCATCAGTGTGTTTTAGTACGCTGAGGCTACAGAGCATTCAGGAAGTATTCACACCCCTGGATTTATTCCACATGTTGTTGTGTTCCAGCCTGAATTCAAAACGGATCACGTTGATTTGTTTCCTCACCCATCTACACACAATACCCCATAATGACAAAGTGAAAACATGTTTTTATAATTTTTTTTGCAAATTTATTGAATATGCAATACAGAAATATCTCATTTACATAAATATTCACACCCCTGAGTCAATAGATGTTAGAAACACCTTTGGCAGCGATTACAGCTGGGAGTCTTACTGGGGAGTACTGTATCGAAGAGCTTTGCACACCTGGATTGTACAATATTTGCACATTATTCTTAGAAAAATTCTTGAAGCACAGTCAAGTTGGTTGTTGATCATTGCTAGACATCCATTTTCAGGTCTTGCCATAGATTTCCAAGCTGAGTTAAGTCAAAACTGTAACTAGGCCACTCGGGAACATTCAATGTCATCTTGGTGCTGAAAGGGGAATTCATCTCCCAGTGTCTGGCGGAAACCTATTTAGGCTTGCCATAACAAAGGGGTTGAATACTTTTCAGCTTTTCATTTTTAATTAATTTGTAAACATTGCTAAAATCATAATTCCAGCATTGACATTATGGGGTATTGTGTGTCAGCCACATACACAACATCTCAATTTAATCAATTCTAAATTCAGGCTGTAACACAACAAAATGTGGAAAAAGTCAAGAGATGTTTTACAATAGTTGTTTAAAAATCTGGACATGTTTCCCTACTATTTTACATTATCTAAATCACAGTGGGGATAGATGCTATTATACAGTATCTAAACATGTTGTTATAAGCTTCAAGCTCCAGATTGCATTACATTTTAATTGCTGCACATTATCAGGTGAACATGCCATTTAAATGTAACTCAGTTCGTATTCCCTCCTTCCATGTGTTGCAGACTTTGCTGCAGCAGTAATGCCAGTGTCGTACGCAGCAGTGCTGAGAATGAAACCAGACGTCTCCTCGTCGCTGCTCAGTTCATGGCCCCGGCCTCCACACGGACATGACCACGGCAGAGGGCTGGTGACACCTGACTTGCCGGCATCCTTCTCCAACCATCATCTGTCTACCCTCAGTATGCTCAGCTCTCAGGAGGAATACAGGAGCCAAGGTCAGTCAATCAGTCAATCAGTCCTGGTTAATAGTCTACTCCATTTTTTTTGTGTGTGTGGAATTTTCGTTGTTGGACGTAAAAGACTGTAAAAAAAACACCAGGACATCAGCTCCAAGTGATTTTAATTTAAGAAATCTGTTCCCAAGTATTCCCCCGGATAGAAGATACATTGTATACAAATGTAAGCAAGGTTTGAAATTATTATGTTTTAGTCAAACATTATATCTGTTTGGGCATCTTGCGGTCAATTTGCAGTCTACAAATTATTTGTAATTATGTTCCGGCCCCCCCGAACATCCGCTCAAGAAAACATCGTCCCGCGGCTGAATCTAGTTGATGATCCCCGCTTTATTACCTCAGACACTCACAGCTTTATAGTGTAGTTGACTGAATGGTGTTCTGAGAAATATGTAGAAACAGGAAATGTTTGCATCAGCAGAGCTACTGCTAAGTGTCAATGTAATAATAGAGAATGAGCAGTAGAGGTGATGTAGCATACAGTAGCCTAGCCTGGAACTAGCATAGCAGCAATAGCATGAGAGCATATCATAGCATATACCATGGCAACACAGCAGTAATAGAAGGTAATAGCGTAAGTTAATTAGCATTAGCATAAGAGAGCAGGTAATCGCAATAGCATAGCTTAGCATAAAAGTGACTATAGCATGTAATGACAATAGCATCGAGCAGTAGTGAGGGATAACATAGATGATAAATAATATCTATAGCAACTGAGGTAGCATATGACAGTGGAATATTAGCATTAGCAAGTAACAGTAGCAAACACCATATAAAGTGTCTTATAATGTGCAATGGTAATAACTATAACCCAGCAATAATGGCAACAATAACAGTTAAATAGCAGTTAACTGATAGACAAGGGCATATAAGGGAACTAAATGCTAATAGCAGCAGTATTAACAAGCACACAACACACTCTTTACAATGGGGGAATCCAGCTAGCATGCTAACCATATAGAAGTATGCCAGAAGTGACCAGAAACCAGTTGGGATTTGTAGTTTGTTAAGGGATTTTGTGCCGTTGGACTACAACAACCATTTTGGCTACATAGCAAGCCCGTTGTAAGGGATGTTTTTCATGACTCAGCAGGTCTTAAGGGAACTGGCCCGCACTACCGTACCTCCTTGCCCGTCCAAATAAAATATTAAAATATTCACCATTTATTTGACCGAGACTCGCACTGACAGAAGACGCATCAATCTCAGATGAAGCATCTGAGCGAGCGAAACAGTGCCCCTCTGTCTCAGTATGTGTGTCATACTCTTTTTGTCCAGACAGCATTAGATACATGCGCTACATATAGTAAGACAGAGGGGCGCTGTTTCACTCGCTCGGATGCTTTCTCCAGTGAGATACACTACCCGTCAAAAGTTTTAGAACACCTACTCATTCAAGGATTTTTCTTTATTTTTGCACCAAATACAATGCTCTTAGTTTTAGAGATGTTCAGGGCCAGTTTATGACTTGCCACCCCATTCCAAAACAGACTGCCATTCTTTGTTAAGGGTTTCAGTGACTTAATTAGCTGTGGTTGCTGATGCGTATATGGTTGAATCATCAGCATACATGGACACACATACTTTGTTTAATGCAAGTGGCAGGTCATTGGTAAAAATAGAAAAGAGGGCCTAGAGAGCTGCCCTGCGGTACACCACACTTTACATGTTTGATATTAGAGACGCTTCCATTAAAGAAAACCCTCCGAGTTCTATTAGATAGATAGCTCTGAATCCACGATATGGCAGAGGTTGAAAAGCCGTAAGACATATGTTTTTTTCAACAACAGGTGATGGTCAATAATATCAAAGGTTGCACTGAAATCTGACAGTACATCTCCCACAATCTTCTTACTATCAATATCTTTCAACCAATCATCAGTCATTTGTGCCAGTGCAGTACATGTTTAGTGCCCTTCTCTATAAGCATGCTGAAAGTCTGTTGTTAATCTGTATACAGAGAAATAGCAGTGTATTTGGTCAAACACAATTATTTCCAACAGTTTGCTAAGAGCAGGCAGCAAGCTGATAGGTCTGCTGTTAGAACCAGTAAAGGCTGCTTTACCACTCTTGGGTAGTGGAATGACTTTGGCTTCCCTCCAGGCCTGAGGACAAAGACTTTCCTCTAGGCTCAGATTAAATATATGACAGATAGGAGTGGCTATAGAGTCAGCTACCATCCTCAGTAGCTTTCCATCTGAATTGTTAATGCCAGGAGGCTTGTCATTATTGATAGTTTACAATCATTTTTCCACCTCTCCAACACTAACTTTACAAAATTCAAACTTGCTATGCTTTTCTTTCATTATTTGTTTTTTTATGCATGAACACGATGGCTCACTGTTTGTTGTTGGCATTTCCTGCCTAGGTTTGCCCACTTTGCCAATTAAGTAATCATTAAAATAATTGGCAACATCAAATTGTTTTGTGATGAATAAGCCATCTGATTCGATGGAGATGGAGTTGAATTTGTCTTTCTGCCCATAATTTAATTTAAAGTACTCCAAAGTTTTTTTTCTTCCCATCATTCTTTATATCATTGATCTTGGCTTCATAATACAGTTTCTTCTTCTTTTTTTAAGTTTAGTCTCATAATTTCTCAATTTGCAGTTAGTCAGCCAGTCAGATGTGCAGCCAGACTTATTAGCCACTCCTTTTGCCCTGTCTCTTTCAACCAGACAGTTTTTCAATTCCTCATCAATCCATGGAGCCTTAACAGTTCTAACAGTCAGTTTCTTAACAGGTGCATGTTTATTAATAATTGGAAGAAGCAATTTCATTAATTAATCAAGTGCAGCATCTGGATGCTCCTTATTAATCACATCAGACCAACAAATATTTTTAACATCATCCACATAAGAGTCACAGCAACATCTTTTATATGATCTCTTATACACTATTTTAGGCCCAGCTTTTGGAACTTTGGCTTTCCTGGATATAGCCACTATATTGTGATCAGTGCATCCAATGGATACGGATACAGCTTCAGAACAAAGTTCTACAGTATTAGTAAAAATGTGATCAGTACATGTGGATGATCTTGTTCCTGTAGTGTTTGTAAACACCCTGGTAGGTTGATTAATAACCTGAACCAGATTACAGGCACTGTTTACAGTGAGAAGCTTCCTCTTGAGCGGACAACTTGATAAAAACCAGTCAATATACAGTGGGGAAAAAAAGTATTTAGTCAGCCACCAATTGTGCAAGTTCTCCCACTTAAAAAGATGAGAGAGGCCTGTGATTTTCATCAGAGGTACACGTCAACTATGACAGACAAAATGAGAAAAAAAATCCAGAAAATCACATTGTAGGATTTTTTATGAATTGATTTGCAAATTATGGTGGAAAATAAGTATTTGGTCAATAACAAAAGTTTCTCAATACTTTGTTATATACCCTTTGTTGGCAATGACACAGGTCAAATGTTTTCTGTAAGTCTTCACAAGGTTTTCACACACTGTTGCTGGTATTTTCGCCCATTCCTCCATGCAGATCTCCTCTAGAGCAGTGATGTTTTGGGGCTGGGCAACACAGACTTTCAACTCCCTCCAAAGATGTTCTATGGGGTTGAGATCTGGAGACTGGCTAGGCCACTCCAGGACCTTAATGCTTCTTACGAAGCCACTCCTTCGTTGCCCGGGCGGTGTGTTTGGGATCATTGTCATGCTGAAAGACCCAGCCACGTTTCATCTTCAATGCCCTTGCTGATGGAAGGAGGTTTTCACTCAAAATCTCACGATACATGGCCCCATTCATTCTTTACTTTACACGGATCAGTCGTCCTGGTCCCTTTGCAGAAAAACAGCCCCAAAGCATGATGTTTCCACCCCCATGCTTCACAGTAGGTATGGTGTTCTTTGGATGCAACTCAGCATTCTTTGTCCTCCAAACACGAAGAGTTGAGTTTTTACCAAAAAGTTATATTTTGGTTTCATCTGACCATATGACATTCTCCCAATCCTCTTCTGGATCATCCAAATGCACTCTAGCAAACTTCAGATGGGCCTGGACATGTACTGGCTTAAGCAGGGGGACAAGTCTGCACTGCAGGATTTGAGTCCCTGGCGGCGTAGTGTGTTACTGATGGTAGGCTTTGTTACTTTGGTCCCAGCTCTCTGCAGGTCTTTCACTAGGTCCCCCCGTGTGGTTCTGGGATTTTTGCTCACTGTTCTTGTCATCATTTTGACCCCACGGGGTGAGATCTTGTGTGGAGCCCCAGATCGAGGGAGATTATCAGTGGTCTTGTATGTCTTCCATTTCCTAATAATTGCTCCCACAGTTGATTTCTTCAAACCAAGCTGCTTACCTATTGCAGATTCAGTCTTCCCAGCCTGGTGCAGGTCTACAATTTGGTTTCTGGTGTCCTTTGACAGCTCTTTGGTCTTGGCCATAGTGGAGATTGGAGTGTGACTGTTTGAGGTTGTGGACAGGTGTCTTTTATACTGATAACAAGTTCAAACAGGTGCCATTAATACAGGTAACGAGTGGCGGACAGAGGAGCCTCTTAAAGAAGAAGTTACAGGTCTGTGAGAGCCAGAAATCTTGCTTGTTTGTAGGTGACCAAATACTTATTTTCCACCATAATTTGCAAATAAATTCATTAAAAATCCTACAATGTGATTTTCTGGATTTTTTTCCCTCAATTTGTCTGTCATAGTTGACGTGTACCTATGATGAAAATTACAGGCCTTCTCATCTTTTTAAGTGGGAGAACTTGCACAATTGGTGGCTGACTAAATACTTTTTTCCCCCACCGTACTCTGTTTCAATCACATACACTATCAAGCATTTCACACATATTATTTAGATACTGACTGTTCACACTTGGTGGCCTATAGCAACCCCCCAAAATAAAAGGCTTTAGATGTGCCAAGTGAACCTGCAACCACAACACTTCAATAACACTTGACATAAGATCTTCTCTAAGCATTACAGGGATATGGCTCTGAATATACAGTATATAGCAACTCCTCCCCCATAAGCATTTCTGTCTCTTATATAGATGTTACATCCTTGTATTGCTGCTGCTGTATCATCAAATGAATTATCTAAGTGAGTCTCAGAAAGGGCTAATATATGAATGTTATCTGATGTTATCAAGTTATTGATTTCATGAACCTTATTTCTAAGGCTATATATATTAATATGGGCTATTTTCAGTCCTTTCCTGGGTAGCTTAACAGAGATAGACATAATACTGAAAAGAGCAAACAAAGCAAGATAAAATAATATAAGCTATGAACCCATAGGCTTGGCTCTCTCATCCCTTCCAGGCTTCTGGGAAGGAGGGTGGACAATGAGCCTGTCATATATGATGGAAGCAATGTCCCCATGCGCTCTGTCAGCTTTCACGGCTGGGATCAGTTCTTTCCTCTTCTGGCGCACAGCTTCAGGATAGTCCTCGTTGAGGAAGATATACGTTCCTCTCAAGTTCTTGGCTCTTTCCAGAACAGCTACCTTGTCCTTGAACCTCAGGAACTTGACCACTATCGGCCTGGGTCTGTCACCTGGGCCGGTGGTGGGTTTTCCAGTCCTGTGGGCGTGCTCCACCTCCATCTTCCTGTGGTCCATCTTCAATTTCTCAGAGATCATTTCCCTCACTTTGTCCTCAGACTCCGTCCACAACCATGTTGTTCCACCTTGATTGTCCCTCGAGATCTGATTTATCCGTCATTGTTATCATGGATTCACACACAGAACTGTCCTCTCAATGACTTTCAGATTGCTGTCATCTTGCCGTTCTCCTGTTTCACCTAATCGAGCTCAACTCATTGAGCTGACCCTGGGAGAACTGCAAACTGTTCTTCAGGTCCTGGACCTCTCTGGTCAGGTGGTCCAGTCTTTTATTAGTTGAATCCACACTTGAAGCTATTTTCTTGTTGTTGTAACAACTCCTTGTAGATCTATTTTCGTTTAAAAGATCCTTCACGTGTGATAGAGAGACAACTCTGTCCTCAACAACACTGGCTTTGGTCTTTGTCATGGTAGCTAGCAACGTACACTACCAGTCAAAAGTTTTAGTGTGTTGTGTGCCTCCAATCAAGTTGATTAACACATTTTTATAGAGATTGATGTAATATTGGCTTAGATACAGTACCAGTCAAAACTCTGGACACACCTACTCATTCAAGGGTTTTCTATTTTTTTTACATTGTAGAATAATGTTAAGACAACAAAACTATGAAATAACACAAATGGAATCATATAGTAACGAAAAAAGTGTTAAACAAATCAAAATATATTTCAGATTTTAGATTCTTCAAATAGCCACCCTTTGCCTTGATGACAGCTTTGCACACTCTTGGCATTCTCTCAACCAGCTTCACCTGGAATGCTTTTCCAATAGTCTTGAAGGAGTTCCCACATATGCTGAGCACTTGTTGGCTGCTTTTCCTTCAATCTGTGGTCTGACTCATCCCAAACCATCTCAATTGGGTTGAGGTCAGGGAATTGTGTAGGCCAGGGCATCTGATGCAGCACTCGATCACTCTTCTTCTTGGTAAAATAGCCCTAACACAGCCTGTAGGTGTGTTGGGTCAATGTCCTGTTGAAAAACAAATTATAGTCCCACTAAGCCCAACCCAGATGGGATGGCATATCGATGCAGAATGCTGTGGTAGCCATGCTGGTTAAGTGTGCCTTGAATTCTAAATGAATCACAGACAGTGTCACCAGCAAAGCACCCCCACACCATAACACCTCCTCCTCCATGCTTTACGGTGGGAAATACACATGCGGAGATCATCCGTTCACCCACACCGTGTCTCACAAAGACACGGCGGTTGGAACCAAAAATCTCCAATTTGGACTCCAGACCAAAGGACAAATTTCCACCGGTCTAATGTCCATTGCTCGTGTTTCTTGGCCCAAGCAAGTCTCTTCTTCTTATTGGTGTCCTTTAGTAGTGGTTTCTTTGCAGCAATTCGACTATGAAGGCCTGATTCACGCAGTCCCCTCTGAACAGTTGATGTTGAGATGTGTCTGTTACTTGAACTCTGTGAAGCATTTATTTGGGCTGCAATTTCTGAGGCTGGTAACTCTAATGAACATATCCTCTGCAGCAGAGGTAACTCTGGGTCTTCCATTCCTGTGGTTGTCCTCATGAGAGCCAGTTTAATCATAGCGCTTGATGGTTTTAGCGACTGCACTTGAAGAAACTTTAAAAGGTTCTTGAAATGTTCCCTATTTACTGATTTTCATGTCTTAAAGTAATGATGGACAATAATTTTTCTTTGCTTATTTGAGCTGTTCTTGCCATAATATGGACTAATATGGATCCCAAATAGGGCTACTGCATGATTCCATATGTGTTATTTCATAGATTTGATGTCTTCACTATTATTCAACAATGTACAAAATAGTAAAAATAAAGAAAAACCCTGGAATGACTAGGTGTTCTAAAACTTTTGACTGGTAGTGTATATGTACAGTCGTGGTCAAAGGTTTTGAGACTGACACAAGTATTGGTCTTCGCAAAGTTCGCTGCTTCAGTGTTATGAGATATTTTTGTCAGATGTTACTATGGTATACTGAAGTATAATTACAAGCATTACATAAGTATCAAAGGCTTTTATTGACAATTACATTAAGTTTATGGAAAGAGTTAATATTTGCAGTGTTGACCCTTCTTTTTCAAGACCTCTGCGATCCGCCCTGGCATGCTGTCAATTAACTTCTGGGCCACATCCTGACTGATGGCGGCCCATTCTTGCATAATCAATGCTTGGAGTTTGTCAGAATTAGTGGGTTTTTGTTTGTCCACCCGCCTCTTGAGGACCAACCACAAGTTCTCAATGGGATTAAGGTCTGGGGACTTTCTTTCCTGGCCATGGACCCAAAATGTCAATGTTTTGTTACCCGAGCCACTTAGTTATCACTTTTGCCTTATGGCAAGGTGCTCCATCATGCTGGAAAAGGCATTGTTCGTCACCAAACTGTTCTTGGATGGTTGGGAGAAGTTGCTCTCGGAGGATGTGTTGGTACCATTCTTTATTCATGGCTGTGTTCTTAGGCAAAATTGTGAGTGAGCCCACTCCCTTGGCTGAGAAGCAACCCCACACATGAATGGTCTCAGGATGCTTTACTGTTGGCATGACACAGGACTGATGGTAGCGCTCACCTTGTCTTCTCCGGACAAGCTTTTTTCCAGATGCCCCAACCAATTGGAAAGGGGATTCATCAGAGAAAATGACTTTACCCCAGTCCTCAGCAGTCCAATCCCTGTACATTTTGCAGAATATCAGTCTGTCCCTGATGTTTTTCCTGGAGAGAAGTGGCTTCTTTGCTGCCCTTCTTGACACCAGGTCATCCAAGTATTTGCCTCACTGTCCTTTTGTGGCAGGGCTGAAATGCAGTGGAAATGTTTTTTGGGGGATTAAGTTCATTTTCATGGCAAAGAGGGACTTTGCAATTAATTGCAATTCATCTGATCACTTCATAACATTCTGGAGTATATGCAAATTGCCATCATCAAAACTGAGGCAGCAGACTTTGTGAAAATTAGTTTTTGTGTTATTCTCAAAACTTTGGTGTGTGTTCCTGTCTGTGAGTTGCAATTCAACGGCTCAGACACGAGACGTATGTGGCAGGGTCTACAGACAATCACGGACTACAAAAGGAAAACCAGCCACGTCGCCAACACCGACGTCTCGCTTCCAGACAAGCGAAACACCTTCTTCGCCCGCTTTGAGGATAATACAGTGCCACCGACGCGGCCCGCTACCAAGGACTGTGGGCTCTCCTTCTCCGTGGCCAACGTGAATAAGACATTTAAGCGTGTAAAACCTTGCAAGGCTGCCGGCCCAGATGGCATTCCTAGCCGCACCCTCAGAGCATGCGCAGACCAGCTGTCTGGAATGTGTTTACAGACATATTCAATCTCTCCCTTTCCCAGTCTTGTGTCCCCACAAGCTTCAAGATGGCCACCATTGTCCCTGTACCCAAGAAAGCAAAGGTAACTGAACTAAATGACTATCGCCCCTTAGAACTCAGTTCTGTCATCATGAAGTGCTTTGAGAGACTAGTCATTTCACCTCTACCTTACCTGCCACCCTAGACCCACTTCAATTTGCTTACCGCCCCAGAGTTGCAAAGAAAAAGCCATATCTCAGACTGCCCATCTTAATCTTCTATTTTTATTGGCCAGTCTGAGATATGGCTTTTTCTTTTCAACTCTGCCTAGAAGCTCAGCATCCCGGAGTCGCCTCGTTGATGTTGAGACTGGTGTTTTGCGGGTACTATTTAATGAAGCTGTCAGTTGAGGACCTGTGAGGCGTCTGTTTCTCAAACTAGACACTCTAATGTATTTGTCCTCTTGCTCAGTTGTGCACCGGGGCCTCCCACTCCTCTTTCTATTCTGGTTACAGCCAGTTTGAGCTGTTCTGTGAAGGGAGTAGTACACAGCATTGTACAAGCTCTTCAGTTTCTTAGCAATTTCTCGCATGGAATAGCCTTCATTTCTCAGAACAAGAATAGACTGACGAGTTTCAGAAGAAAGTTATTTGTTTCTGGCCATTTTAAGCCTGGAATCGAACCCACAATTGCTGATGCTCCAGATACTCAACTAGTCTCAAGAAGGCCAGTTTTATTGCTTCTTGAATCAGCACAACAGTTTTCAGCTGTGCTAACATAATTGTAAAAGGGTTTTCTAATGATCAATTAGCCTTTTAAAATGATCAACTTGGATTAGCAAACACAACGTGCCATTGGAACATTTACATTTACATTTACGTCATTTAGCAGACGCTCTTATCCAGAGCGACTTACAGTTAGTGAATACATATATATATATATATATTTTTTATACTGGCCCCCCGTGGGAATCGAACCCACAACCCTGGCGTTGCAAACGCCATGCTCTATCAACTGAGCTACATCCCTGCCAGCCATTCCCTCCCCTACCCTGGACGACGCTGGGCCAATTGTGCGCCGCCCATGAGTCTCCCGGTCGCGGCCGGCTGCGACAGAGCCTGGATTCGAACCAGGATCTCTAGTGGCACAGTTAGCACTGCGATGCGGAACACAGGACTGATGGTTGCTGATAATGGGCCTCTATACTCCTATGTATATATTCCATAAAAAATCAGCCGTTTCCAGCTACAATAGCCATTTACAACATTAACAATGTCTACACTGTATTACTGATCAATTTGATGTTATTTTAATGGACATTTTTTATTTTTTTATTTTGAAAACAAGGACATTTCTAAGTGACTCCAAACTTTTGAACGGTAGTGTACATATGAATTAAGGAAATTGCCCCAGATCCCTCTGTCAATATTTTCTGGGTAGTCCCCGAAGGGCTCACTCTCTGCAACACCCAAGTAAAGGCCATAGCCATCTCATCCCGCCCACTTGTTCTTTTGAAGTGGAAGTCAGGTACCCCGCCATCGCATGCTCACTGGGTCAGGGATGTTATGGTCCATCTTAAACTTGAGACGCTAAAATATTCCACCCGTGGCTCCTCTGAAAAGTTTTATAAGGTCTGGCAGCAATTACTCAATTGCTTTGAGAGTAAACTCTGCTCTGAGAACTTAATATAGCCTCTGTAATCCCCCCCCCCCCCCAACCCCATCATATCATTTTAATATATCTATGTACTATTTCTATTAACATCCAGATACTTACTTATATAGTATTATTTTATTTATTATTATTATTACTCTTTTTTTTCTGTTGCATAGGATAGTATCAATGTAACTCCTTTCTGAGGAGAGGAGAGGAGAGGAGAGGAGAGGAGGAGAGGAGAGGAGGGAGAGGAGAGGAGAGGAGAGGAGAGGAGAGGGAGAGGAGAGGAGAGGAGAGGAGAGGAGAGGAGAGGAGAGGAGGAGAGGAGAGGAGAGGAGAGGAGGGGAGGGGAGGGAGGGGAGAGGAGAGGAGAGGAGAGGGATGCGGATTCTTGTACGCTTGCCGTACGTTAGTCGTACTGATTGCATTCATGAACTTGCGTAGTACTGGATGGCTGTGTTCAGATGTATGGTTAGGATTTAATCTGAATCTAGATGTATCAGAAGACACTGTGCATCGTCATTTGTAGTTTGTACTGGGAGGCGATGGTATCTGTCTCTGTTAGTGTACTGATGGTGATATCATTCAATCTGTTAGTGTACTAAGCTGGGGGCTGTGATATCATGTCAATCTGTTAGTGTACTAAGGGGAGGCTGTGATATCTGTCAATCTGTTAGTGGTACTAAGGGGAGGCTGGTGATATCATGTCAATCTGTTAGTGGTACTAAGGGGAGGCTGGTGATATCATGTCAATCTGTTAGTGTACTAAGGGGAGGCTGGTGATATCATGTCAATCTGTTAGTGGTACTAAGGGGAGGCTGGTGATATCATGTCAATCTGTTAGTGTACTAAGGGGAGGCTGGTGATATCATGTCAATCTGTTAGTGGTACTAAGGGGAGGCTGGTGATATCATGTCAATCTGTTAGTGGTACTAAGGGGAGGGCTGGTGATATCATGTCAATCTGTTAGTGGTACTAAGGGGAGGCTGGTGATATCATGTCAATCTGTTAGTGGTACTAAGGGGAGGCTGGTGATATCATGTCAATCTGTTAGTGGTACTAAGGGGCGGCTGGTGATATCATGTCAATCTGTTAGTTGTACTAAGGGGGGCTGGTGATATCATGTCAATCTGTTAGTTGTACTAAGGGAGGCTGGTGATATCATGTCAATCTGTTAGTGGTACTAAGGGGAGGCTGGTGGTATCATGTCAATCTGTTAGTGGTACTAAGGGGAGGCTGGTGATATCATGTTAATCTGTTAGTGGTACTAAGGGGCGGCTGGTGATATCATGTTAATCTGTTAGTGGTACTAAGGGGCGGCTGGTGATATCATGTCAATCTGTTAGTGGTACTAAGGGGCGGCTGGTGATATCATGTCAATCTGTTAGTTGTACTAAGGGGAGGCTGGTGATATCATGTCAATCTGTTAGTGGTACTAAGGGGAGGCTGGTGGTATCATGTCAATCTGTTAGTGGTACTAAGGGGAGGCTGGTGATATCATGTTAATCTGTTAGTGGTACTTTTTGAGACGTTTCATTTTGTATTCAGCATAACAGCATGTAGCCCCAGTATTGTGTTGGCATTTTGATAAGTTAAACCACAGATGACAAAAAGTGAATATATGGTACTGTGTTGTTGGTAAACTGTCACATAATCAGACATGCTTTAAAGTCATGAAAGCTGCCAAAGCTCTCTGTGTGTTCAGCAAAAGGCTCATCAGACTTTTTCCATCTATTTGAAAGCCTTGAAATGAAAGTCCTCAGCGGCCTGTGAGCCAGATCTTTACTTAGACCGTATTTGTCCTCTCCAGTGGTGTTGCTTTTCGGTGTTAGGACAGCAGTACTCATGGGCTGCATTTCTGCTCTTCGAATGCGTCCCGAAGAGGCACCCTATTCCCTACGTAGTGCACTACTTTTGACCAGAGCCCTGCTAATAGGATGGAAATAGGAATAGGATGCCGTTTGGGACTCAGCCCTCCTCTCATCTCCATGTCCTTAAGCAACAGCTCCTGACTGGAACTCAGTCCCAGCACTGCTAGCTAGCTGCTTTTAGTAACCCCACTTGATGCTATGGATTAATAGCCATTAAGCTATGTGGAGAGCACTCTACTTCCCAGCTAATGCTCAGCCAAGGCCTGCAGTGTGTTGTGTCCTGTCTTACGTAGGAAGGACCAGAAAAGTGCACAAAGACTATAAAAAAAAAACACCAGCAAATCAGCTCCAACTTATTTTAATTTTGGAAAATCGGTTCCAAAGTATTCCCATGCATAATAGAGAGACGTCCACTGAGTATACAAAATATTAAGAACACCTGTTCTTTCCATGACATAGACTGACTAGAAGAAACTCAATATTTGGAAGGTGTTCCTAATGTTTGGTATACTCAGTTTTCACTACATGGCCAAAAGTATGTGGACAACTGTTTGTCGAACATCTCATTCCAAAATCATGGTCATTAATATGGAGTTGGTCCCCCCTTTGCTGCTATAACAGCCTCCACTCTTCTGGGAAGGCTTTCCACTAGATGTTGGAACATTGCTGCGGGGACTTGCTTCCATTCAGCCACAAGAGCATTAGTGAGGTCAGGCACTGATGTTGGGCGATTAGGCCTGGCGCGCAGTCGCCGTTCCAATTCACACAAAGGGGCTCTGTGCAGGCCAGTCAAGTTCTTTCACACCAATCTCGACAAACCATTTCTGTATGGACCTCGCTTTGTGCACGGGAGTATTGTCATGCTGAAACAGGAAAGGGCCTTCCCCAAACTGTTGCCACAAAGTTGGAAGCACAGAATCGTCTAAGATATCGTTGTATGCTGTAGAGTTAAGATTTCCCTTCACTGGAACTAAGGGGCCTAGCCCGAACCAGCCCCAGACCATTATTCCTCCTCTACCAAACTTTACACTTGGCACTATGCATTCGGGCATCCGCCAAACCCAGATTTGTCTGTCGGACTGCCAGATGGTGAAGCGTGATTCATCACTCCAGAGAACGCGTTTCCACTGCTCCAGGGTCCAATAGAGGAGAGCTTTACACCACTCCAGCCGACGCTTGGCATTGTGCATGGTGATCTTAGGCTTGTGTGCGGCTGCTTGGCCATGGAAACCCATTTCATGAAGCTCCCGACGAACAGTTATTGTGCTGACCTTGCTTCTAGAGGCAGTTTGGAACTCGGTAGTGAGTGTTGCAACCGAGGACAGACCATTTTTACGCGGTACGCGCTTCAGCACTCGAGCTTGTGTGGCCTACCACTTCGCGGCTGAGCCGTTGTTGCTCCAAGACGTTTCCACTTCACAATAACAGCACTTACAGTTGACCGTGGCAGCTCTAGCAGGGCAGAAATTTGATGTGATGAACTGACTTGTTGGAAAATTGGCATCCTATGACGGTGCCACATTGAAAGTCACCGATCTCTTCAGTATGGGCCATTCTACTGCCAATGTTTGTCTATGGAGATTGCATGTCTGTGTGCTCGGTTTTATACACCTGTCAGCAACGGGAGTGGCTGAAATAGCAAAATCCACTCATTTAAGGGGTGTCCACATACTGCTGTGTATATAGTGTATGACAGGGAGGATGATGTCACTGATGATGTCACTGACGTCTATTTCTTATGCCTTTTCCTGCGTGAAAAACACAGAATTCTGCGTTAACAGGACCCCTAAGTTTAACCTGCAATCTAAGTAAGTGGCTGAATGAATAAGGTGACGGGCATCATACTGTGTTCGCTTTCTGCCGTGTTTGGGAAGTCGAAGCCCGTTGGATGAGTTATCTGAGTTATCTGAGTTCTGTCCAGCTGCCATTTTTTCTCCTCTCTGTTCTAGGCCCGTCTGCTCCTCCCCCCTCTGCTCCTTCCCCCTCTGCTCCTCCCCCATCTTCTCTGAGCAGATCAGGCAGGCCCGTTGCCCTAGCGACTCCAAGCAGAGCAGGCAGGCCCGTTGCCCTAGCGACTCCAAGCAGAGCAGGCAGGCTCGTTGCCCTAGCGACTCCAAGCAGAGCAGGCAGGACTGTTGCCCTAGCGACTCCAGACTCCACACAGACACAACGTGTACACATGCTGCTGGAGAACCAGCACTGTTCTTCCTTCAGACAAGCATGAACTATATATAGTATACAGATAAAGCAACTGTCTGTCTCTCTCTCTCTCTCTCTCTCTCTCTCTCTCTCTCTCTCTCTCTCTCTCTCTCTCTCTCTCTCTCTCTCTCTCTCTCTCTCTCTCTCTCCTCTCTCTCTCTCTCTCTCTCTCTCTCTCTCTCTCTCCTCTATATAGATATATATATATATATATATATATATATATATTTATATATCTCTCTCTCTCTCTCTTTACCTCTCTCTTTTCATCTCTCCCTCTCTATGAGTGATTCAGATTGAGTTGATTCATATTGAGCTGATTCATATTGAGTTGATTCATATTGAGCTGATTCATATTGAGTGATTCATATTGAGTTGATTCATATTGAGTGATTCATATTGAGTGATTCATATTGAGTTGATTCATATTGAGTTGATTCATATTGAGCTGATTCATATTGAGTTGATTCATATTGAGCTGATTCATATTGAGTTGATTCATATTGAGTGATTCATATTGAGTTGATTCATATTGAGATGGAAGTAGAAGAGAATTAGGACAGGAGAATTACAGGAAGGTAACATTCAGATGACCTGTAATATGGAGTAAATTGTGTCTCCCAAATTGCACTCTATTTCCTACATAGTACACTACTTTTGACCAGGGCACATAGGATGGGATGTTCTTCGTTCACAATCTGACTACCAGGCCATAGCTCAGATAGTGACACCACGTCCACCTCTGGTAATAGAATGATTTAGTGCTGTAACTCCTTCCAAAATCATCTGATTTAGTGCTGAATGATGTAGTGTTGGTGTAACTCCCTCTAAAACATGAAGGGTTGTTTTGTCTTGCTTTCCAGGAGGAAGAATTCCCCCAGACGTTTCGGTGTCAGCTTTCTTCAACGTGTTCCAACGTTGTGTTTTATCTAAACTCCTCTTTCTTTTCTATGTCATTCAGAGCGTGGAGAGTTTGGGCCGGTGTTTGTCCAGGAACCACATGACGCCATCTTTGCGTTGGACTCTGAGGAGAAGAAAGTGATGATGAGCTGTGAAGCCAGAGGCAACCCTGTACCTGTATACAGGTATGTCTCTGTCTATGTCTCTAACCCTATACCCTATACCTCTATCTAACCCTATACCTCTATCTAACCCTATACCTCTATCTAACCCTATACCTGTATCTCTCTCTCTCTCTGTCTCTCTCTCTCTCTCTCTCTCTCTCTCTCTCTCTCTCTCTCTGTCCATCTCTCTCTCTCTCTCTCTCTCTCTCTCTCTCTCTCTCTCTCTCTCTCTCTCTCTCTCTCTCTCTCTCTTACTCTCTCTCTCTCTCTCTGATTTCTCGCCAGAAATCTTTCTGATTGAGAGGGGGTCAAATACTTATTTCCCTCATTAAAATGCAAATCAATTTATAACATTTTTGACATGCGTTTTTCTGGATTTTTTTGTTGTTATTCTGTCTCTCAATGTTCAAATAAACCTACCATTAAAATTATAGACTGATAATTTCTTTGTCAGTGGGCAAATGTACAAAATCAGCAGGGGATCAAATACTTTTTTCCCTCACTGTATATTCATAATAATCCGAGCCACAGTTTTTTCTACTGTTCGCTTTTTAATGGAGGAATGTAACCATGCTCTTTGGTATCATTGTGTATGTCTGCAGTTGGTTCATCAATGGAACAGTAGTGGACGTGGAGGCAGATTACCGTTACAGCTTGATCGACGGCAACTTGATAATAACCAACGCCAGTGAGACGGCTGACTATGGGAGATACCAGTGTAAGGTGGAGAACAGCTACGGGACGATCCTGAGTCGGGACGCCCTGCTACAGTTTGCCTGTGAGTATCTCTCTCTCTGATCTCTCCATTTACATATAATATAGTATTATATACAGTACGTTAGACTGGAAGAAAAACTGGATTCAATCCCTATCGCGGAGGTATCGTGGAAGATCCTCGTAAAAAATATAAAGGTAATTTCCGATTAAGTCGACATACTGTATGCAGCGTTTATCGTGAATGCAGTCTCCGTGAACACATTATGAGTTGAGCTATAACGCGGATATTTCGCTATACTTCTGTGATACAGATTGAATCCAGTCCTTAGTCAATGGAACATTTAGAAAACTTAATTGTGGGGCTTAAAAACATAACTTTTTTACCATCATCTTGTATCTCTGATAGTGACATTATAATTCCCTCAAAAATAAAAAAAAAGTACCTCCTCAGCCTCTCAAGGAGCATTACTCAACACAGGCCTTAAGAAGTTTTCAGAATAGTTATGATGAATACTAGAAAATATTAGCAGTAGCCCACCTCTGACGTTATAAAACATCTTGGTTTTCTCTGCTCTGAGATGATTCTATTTGAAGCTTCACTCCCTATGCGGCTTAAAAATCGACCCTGTATGGTTCCAGGAGTAAATACACAGTGGCTGAACTTAAAAAAAATAATATGCCATTTAGCAGACGCTTTTATCCAAAGCGACTTACAGTCATGTGTGCATACATTTTTGTGTATGGGTGGTCCCGGGGATCGAACCCACTACCTTGGCGTTACAAGCGCCGTGCCCTACCAGCTGAGCTACAGAGGACCACGTTAAACCCACGTTGTTCAGACAGGCAGCGCTGTGTTGGGCTCCACTGGGTAGCTACAGTGCCTTCAGAAAGTACTCACACCCCTTGACTTTTTCCACATTTTGTTGTGTTACAGCCTGAATTTAATATGGATTAAATTAAGATTTGGGTCACTGGCCTAAACACAGTACCCCATAATGTCATTACATTTACATTACATTTTTAGTCAGTTAGCAGACGCTCTTATCCAGAGCGACTTACAGTTAGTGAATACATATATATATTTTTTTATACTGGCCCCCCGTGGGAATCGAACCCACAACCCTGGCGTTGCAAACACCATGCTCTATCAACTGAGCTACATCCCTGCCGGCCATTCCCTCCCCTACCCTGGACCAATTGTGCGCCGCCCATGAGTCTCCCGGTCGCGGCCGGCGGCGACAGAGCCTGGATTCGAACCAGGATCTCTAGTGGCACAGTTAGCACTGCGATGCAATGCCTTAGACCACTGCGCCACTCAGGAGTTGACTGAGTGGAATTATGTTTTTTCAATTATTATTTTTTACAAATGAATTAAAAATGAAAAGCTGAAATGTCTTGAGTCAATAAGTATTCAACCCCTTTGTTATGGCAAGCCTAAATAAGTTCAGGAGTAAAAATGTGCTTAACAAGTCACATAATAAGTTACATGGACTCACTCGGTGTGCAATAATAGTGTTTAACTAGATTTTTTGAATGACTACCTCATCTCTCTACTCCACATATACAATTATCTGTAAGGTCCCTCAGTCGAGCAGTGAATTTCAAACAGATTCAACCACAAAGACCAGGGAGGTTTTCCAAGAAGGGCACCTACTGGTAGATGGGTAAAAAAATATAAAAAAAGCAGACATTGAATATCCCTTTGAGCATGATGGTGAAGTTATTAATTACACTTTGGATGGTGTATCAATACACCCAGTCACTACAAAGATACAGGCGTCCTTCCTAACTCAGTTGCCGGAGAGGAAGGAAACCGCTCAGGGATTTCACTATGAGGCCAATGGTGACTTTAAAACAGTTACAGAGTTTAATGGCTGTGAATAGGAGAAAACTGAGGATGGATCAACAACATTGTAGTTACTCCACAATACTAACCTAATTGACAGAGTGAAAAGAAGGAAGCCTGTACAGAATACAAATATTCCAAAACATGCATCCTGTTTGCAACAAGGCACTAAAGTAAAACTGCAATAAACGTGGCAAAGCAATTAACTTTTTGTCCTGAATATAAAGTGTTATTTTTGGGGCAAATCCAATACAACACATTACTGAGTACCACTCTCCATATCTTCAAGCATAGTGGTGGCTGCACCATGTTATGGGTATGCTTGTAATCGTTAAGGACTGGGGAGTTTTTCAGGATAAGAAATAAATGGTATAGAGCTAAGCACAGGCAAAATCCTAGAGGAAAACCTGGTCCAGTCTGCTTTCCACCAGACACTGGGAGACTAGAGGAAAACCTGGTCCAGTCTGCTTTCCAACAGACACTGGGAGACTAGAGGAAACCCTGGTTCAGTCTGCTGTCCACCAGACACTGGGAGACTAATTCACCTTTCAGCAGGACAATAATACAACATATAAGGCCAAATCTACACTGGAGTTGCTCACCAAGAAGACAGTGAATGTTCCTGAGTGGCCGAGTTACAGTTTTGAAATACATCTACTTGAAAGACCTGAAAATGGTTGTCAAGCAATGATCAACAACCAATTTGACAGAGCTTGAAGAATTTTGAGAAGAATAATGGGCAAATATTGTACAATCCAGGTGTGGAAAGCTCTTAGAGACTTACCCAGAAAGACTCACAGCTGTAATCGCTGTCAAAGGTGCTTCTACAAAGTATTGACTCGGGATTTTGAATACTTATGTAAATGAGATATTTCTGTATTTCATTTTCAATAAATTTGCTCATATTAAGTCCAGGAGTATGAATACTTTCTGAAGGCACTGTAACTGCTGTTTGACCCTTAACTCTGTGCTTAGCTGCCCTGGTGGTGGGCGACTGTGCTCGCTGGAGAAACACATTGTATGTTTTGCTTCTTATTGCCATGCCTACAGGGAGCTTATGTTCCACTATTCTCAGCCAGTGGACTGTTGCTGCTAGAGAATATACAGTGCCTTGAAAAAAATATTCATCCACCTTGGCATTTTTCCTATTTTGTTGCATTACAACCTATAATTTAAATAGATTTTTAATTGGATTTCATGTAATGGACATATTGGTGAAGTGAAATTCTAAAAAATAAATAACGGAAAAGTGGTGCGTGCATATGTATTCACCCCCTTTGCTATGAAGCCCCTAAATAAGATCTGGTTTAACCAATTACCTTCAGAAGTCACATAAATACAGTCCACCTGTGTGCAATCTAAGTGTCAAATGATCTGTCACATGATCTCAGTATATATGCGCCACTCGGGGCTCCCGGTCTAAGGCACTGCATCTCAGTGCTCGAGGCGTCACTACAGACCCCCTGGTTCGATTCCAGGCTGTATCATAACCGGCCGTGATTGGGAGTCCCATAGGGCGGCGCACAATTGGCCCAGATTCATCCGGGTTTGGCCGGTGTATGCTGTCATTGTAAATAAGAATTTGTTCTTAACTGACTTGCCTAGTTAAATAAAGGTTAAATAAATATATATATATATACACCTGTTCTGAAAGGCCCCAGAGTCTGCAACACCACTAAGCAAGGGGCACCAACAAGCAAGTGGCACCATGAAGACCAAGGAGCTCTCCAAACAGGTCATGGACAAAGTTGTGGAGAAGTACAGATCAGGGTTGGGTTATGAAAAAATATCTGAAACTTTGAACATCCCACGGAGCACCATTGAATCCATTATTAAAAATTGAAAGAATATAGCACCACAATAAACCTGCCAACAGAGGGCCTCCCACCAAAACTCACGGACCAGGCAAGGAGGGCGTTAATCAAAGAGGCAACAAAGAGACCAAAGATAACCCTGAAGGAGCTCCAAAGAAAAAGCCATATCTCAGACTGCCCATCTTAATCTTTTATTTTTATTGGCCAATATGAGATATGGCTTTTTCTTTTCAACTCTGCCTAGAAGCTCAGCATCCCGGAGTCGCCTCTTCACTGTTGACGTTGAGACTGGTGTTTTGCGGGTACTATTTAATGAAGCTGCCAGTTGAGGACCTGTGAGGCGTCTGTTTCTCAAACTAGACACTCTAATGTATTTGTCCTCTTGCTCAGTTGTGCACCGGGGCCTCCCACTCCTCTTTCTATTCTGGTTACAGCCAGTTTGCGCTGTTCTGTGAAGGGAGTAGTACACAGCATTGTACAAGCTCTTCAGTTTCTTAGCAATTTCTCTCATGGAATAACCTTAATTTCTCAGAACAAGAATAGACTGACGAGTTTCAGAATAAAGTTATTTGTTTCTGGCCATTTTGAGCCTGTAATCGTACCCACAATTGCTGATCCTCCAGATACTCAACTAGTCTCAAGAAGGCCAGTTTTATTGCTTCTTTAATCAGCACAACAGTTTTCAGCTGTGCTAACATAATTGCAAAAGGGTTTTCTGATCAATTAGCCTTTTAAAATGATAAACTTGGATTAGCAAACACAACGTGCCATTGGAACACAGGACTGATGGTTGCTGATAATGGGCCTCTGTACGCCTATGTAGATATTCCATAAAAAATCTGCCGTTTCCAGCTACAATAGCCATTTACAACATTAACAATGTCTACACTGTATTTCTGATTAATTTGATGTTATTTTAATGGACAAAAAATTAGCTTTTCTTACGAAAACAAAGACATTTCAATGTGACCCTAAACCTTTGAACGGTGGTGTATATGGACGAGCGATGTCAGAGCGGCATTGACTAAGATACAGTAGAATATTATAGAATAGAATGCAGTGGTCCTCTGTAGCTCAGCTGGTAGAGCACGGCGCTTGTAACGCCAAGGTAGTGGGTTCGATCCCCGGGACCACCCATACACACAAAAAATGTATGCACGCATGACTGTAAGTCGCTTTGGATAAAAGCGTCTGCTAAATGGCATATTATTATTATTATTATCAGTATATACATATGAGATGAGTAATGCAAGATATGGAAACATTATTAAAGTGACTAGTGTTGCATTTCTTAAAGTGGCCAGTGATTTCAATAGGCAGCAGCAGCCTCTAATGTGCTAGTGATGGCTATTTAACAGTCTGATGGCCTTGAGATAGAAGCTGTTTTTCAGTCTCTCGGT